CTCATGACGGACGAGATAGTTTCTCTCTAACCCCAGCTGGCACTCTTATGTCTCTTTGATCGTTCAGCACTCATGGTCTGCCTTTACGACCTCGGAACGCCGTTGCCTGCTCGTTCAAGTCTAAACAGGGATACCAGTCGGCCAGCGAACAGAGGCGACCGTCTTCTCAAATTCCTCTTGCTCTGTTACCACCCTCTTTGTCTGTGACAGTGTGACTCGAAGATGTTTCCTTGTGGCCACCGGAGCCTGCATCAGTGTTATCCCTCCCAATCTGTCTGACCACTATTTTTCCAGCCCTGTTCCCCACTTCCAAGCTACCAACTGTATTCCCATTCCCAAATCTGGTAACCTGTCCTTCACTCTATACATTGGCCTTAGTCGATCGTTCTCCCGGGTCCTTGTGATTGTTAATGTCCCTCATGCAATCCCTGGCTTGAAATTTCTAGCAGAGTTTGATCTCCTCGCAGACTGCCGACATCTCTGACTCATCGAACGCACAAACCGTCTCTCTGTGTTCGCCGATTAACTAGATTTGCTACATCCGGCAACTTACCTGTTCTGGATACAGGTATTGGTTGTCCGTTTGGGACGTTTTTCTTTAATATCCGTCGCAATGGCAACGCCAAGCATGATGCTGTGCACCGCGCCTGCATCTCAGGTCCTCCTGTGTTCGCTCTGCCCCGGTGACTGTCGCTGGCCTGTCCCAACACCCCGAATTCGGTGTTTAAGCTGATACTGCAACTTGGCATCATCCGATCGTCCGAGAGCCCTTGTGCGTCCTCTCAACATATAGTACCCGAGAAGATATCAATCGATTGGCTGCCAATGGCGACAACCGTGTCCATAACCATTCCAGATCGGTATCCAATGGCTCATTTTCAGGGTTTCAACGGGGCCCTTTTGGCAGAATGCTTTTCTCGAAGACTGACCTGACGTGCGCCTTCTAGCAGTTCAGTTCAAGTTATTTGAACGAAACGTTGCTGTTGAACCTTCCAACTCCCTATTCGTTACAGGAAAGAGAATAACATCAAAGAGTTAGAAAACGGAAACTTCGAACAGCTACAGAATAATTATAGAAGCTGTACTGATAGCGGAATTATTCTAGTGTACAGAAGGCACTTGTTCGATTAACATTACTAAATAAATATTTTAAAACGTTTTTGACGGTATGGCAAATGGGATCTAACCAGACTAATGATAGGAGATAAATAGTAAACGACTCAGCTGTTTTTTGACACGAGGAACCTGGCGGTGCTGTTGACATACAAGTGGCCGGAAGAAGATAGATTTTTCTAACGAAAGTTCTGTGAGAACCGAGTCATTGCTAGGACGAATCGATTTCTTAATTCCAACTGGCTGTCAGGGTGTGCAGTAGACAGAAGTCTGGAAAAAGGTAAATCCATCGGAGGACCAAAATTTCAGACCGAATTTTAATTGCCAAACTAATGTGTAGTCTTGCGTGTGTAAGCTGATTGGAGAAATTTCCCAAAAACCAGTATTCTATACTAGGAATTTACTGAAAGAAGCGGACACACACAAAAGCTTCGGTGTCTTAGCAACTTCGAAATGGCAGCCCTTCAAGAATCGAAAAAGGCTGTCCAAGAGACAGCGGGCATCATGCACTGGATAAGACCTGTTATGGTATTTTTTCCCTCCCCGACATAATATTTGCCTGCAATTTCCAAGATGACCCTTTCCAAAGCCACGACTTTGGGCATTCTATGAGGAAGCAGACAATACTCGTACACAACGAGTTAAGATTTCCAATACCATCTCCAACCCCATACGTGTGAAGAATGGAGTCATTCAGTGTAGTGTACTCGGCCCGCTTTTATTTTGCCTTTTCGTTAATGATGTACCCGATTTATTTCAGAATGGTAAGCCTTTTATGTATGCCGATGATCTTAAAGTTGCATATCGATATACGCCGGCAGATCGTGACATCGTGCTTGAGCTCCTAGAGAGCGACCTACAGGCTTTCACCCAGTGGTGCCGCACTTGGCGCCTTTCTCTTTCTTGGCATAAGTGCTCAGTCATGGTGGTTGGTGACGACCACCAACCTCAACTAAATATTGTAGATCGCTCCATAAATGTGCCCAGGGTTATAAAGGATCTGGGCGTTTCATACTCCAAGATTCTCAATCTCTCGGAGCACTGTGCCTTGATAGTTTCCAAGGCACGCAGAACGATCGGGTTTATCCTCCGAAACTTTAAAACTAGGCGCATCAGAATGCGCATTTTCAACATGTACGTTAGACCTGGTCTGAAATACTGTTCGTTTTTATTTAGCCTCATGCGTGCTACTGAGCGGAAGAAAATAGTATCCGTTCAACACTTTTTTACCAAGAGAATTTCAGCCCCGGAACACCGATATTTGTCTTACCAAGAACGTTGTCGGTTTACGGGCCTTGATCCTTTATGGTTCCGTAGATTACAAAAGGGACTATTTTTGCTATTTAAACTATTATATAGTCACACATTTAACCCACTCACCTCTTTAAGACACCATGTCTACGCACGATATAGCAGTCGCCGTGAGGTCTTTTTATTTCTTCCTCTGGCACGTACTGTTACATATCGTAGGTTCTATTCTGTAAATGCAATTGCTATTTGGAATAAACTACCCAGGAATGTAAAAAATCTGCAAAATTATCCTTTATTTAAGAGAACTACTACTCGATTTTTGCATTCAGAAAAGTTTCCTCAAATTTTGGGTTCTGAATCCACTGATCGACTGTACCGTAGCGATGGCGTTAGTGGTCTCTGAACACTATGGCCGGTCGCACCAGCTGTTCCTCAACGCTTCTACTTTGACTATCCCCAACTTCATGAAAGGAATTGACGTCCGATGATCTCTGATACCGTGCAACCCCTCCCCCCCCCCCTTCTTGACGGTCGAAAATCTACCGCCAGCAGTTTTTTTTCTCCTGAAACCTCCAAACCATAAAACCCACCATCAACTTTATTTTTATTCTTCAGGAGTTTTTTTTCACTGCTGGTCGGATTTGTGTTTAATCGCTTCCCTTGACAATGCCTGTAAACTGGCATTTAATAAATTAAATTAAATAATAACTCTATGCATACATACGTTATGCACCTACGCAATTTCAGGTTAAATGCTGATAACCTAGACGGCGATCTAAGTTCCAGAGAAAAGTTATTAAAAAGAAGGCACAGCGAGCGAATAAACATAGGGCAAAGGGGCGGCGGAAAGAACAGGGTAGTTTACGCAATACAGCTTCCTGATATAATCAACCCATTCTTTTGTCTAAGATCAATCCACTGAAATGAAGGCACCAGGCGTGGAAGCTTTCACCTAATGCTGTTGTAAAACGCAAAAAGGCCCGCTTCTAGATTTATTATCCGTGAAAATGTAATGTCCGCTGGTTGACACTTTCCACCATAGGGAATACCAAAGACAGCTCGAGGGAAGTATCATTAAGTAAAACCTTTCTCAACAACTTAATTTAATTACGGTCATAGACATTCTTTAGGAGAAAGCGCAATGGATCCAGAACAATGTCTTGGAGTATATCGCTTGTGGTTGAATGAGGCATCGAGCAGCAATTACCAAGTATGGCCACCTGGAAGCACTTGTGTAAGTAAGACCTGATTAAGTAGAGTACAGGAACCCGGATGCCGTAGGGTTCAATTTTTACCAAAATTTTTATACGACGCCATGTCTCAGGCCGTATTAAGAACAAAGGGGATGGTTACCAGTGTATGCTGTTAGCTAGGAAATGAAATGACATGATAAAGAAAAGTTACGGATATATTTTGCAAAAATATTCTAGGCAAAAATCCATGCCGAGTATAGATTAAAGGCTGATTAACCAGAAATGAACCAAGAATTTCATTTAAATATGCCTTTTTAAGAAACTTTACAGGTAAACTGTTCTTCCAACCTACTGGCGGAACTACTGAACTCGACATGTCGACGAAAGCTTCACCATTTTCTTCCGAGATAGGGTCCGATAATTCCCTGTTGCCTTCGATTTCGCTGCACAGGCCATCTTTATCTTATAAGAGACAGAGGTAGCTTATAAAGCACAGTGGATAATTAAAAACATCTGTGTACAGGCGAGCCATCGACATGCGCAAATCCTTAGCTACCACAGTAAATGCCTGCTATCTTACAAAAGCATGTGCATGAATTCTCTACATTAGGGCAGAGTCATGCCGCATTTAGTCTGACGATGATTATTTAAGATTCCGAGGCCTCAAAATTAATATAAATCAGTGTACGTATGGAAGGGAAATATTTAAAACATCTGTAACTTGCTGCTTAGAGTTTTACAGAGAAATATTTACATAACTGTTGGAGAGTAGCATTTCAGGCATTAAACTGCGAGCAAATTCCCGATAATCAAGTACAGATTAACCGGGTATTCTTTTGAATGCCTCAACGTTTTCGCTTGTTGTTGGTGGCTTCTACCTCCGTTTGCTTTCCCACGCGCTGCAACCTATGTGGAATTCTGCCGGTCGCCGCAGTTCAGCTAAATTTGCTTTCGTCATACTTGTCTTTGAAAATTAAAGGTACGTTGTATTAGTGGGGCAGATTGCTTTGTATCTAACTGCATTTGATAAAAAAGTTGACATTTCCAAATATTGCCGCGCGTTTGTCATCACGTGAGTCCTGTTTGTTCCCAACTTACTAACTTGAAGCATTTTCACAAAATTTTGTCAGTTTTGCCCTGTCTTGTACGTCTACATGTTCCATTTTTCGGTTTTCAGCCTTTTCTTCGGCTATATACCAAACCGTATAATCCGCGGCCGTTTCCCCTGCTGTCGATTTCCTGTTACTTACTATTTTACCTTCAACTGACTTGGACCATTCTAACATCGGCCTATCTGCCGTCTAATCTATAGCATGAATACGAAAACAGGGATCGTTCATTCCGGAATATGATCCACTAGTTGCTTCTTGCACTGTTTAAGTCATCCCTCATGGCCCTGAAGCTGAGGCGGGAAAGGCAAGTGGCAATCTACGGTCTTTGCAGATGGATACGTGGCTCTTAGTTCTAACCTGTGCCACGACATTTGTAGCTATATATCTTTTGTTCTTCGATGGCCGATTGAAATTTTGTAAGTTTTGACGGCGATTGTGAATATTTGGACGTCCTCTCTCTGTAACTTCCCTTCTTACCAATTAACAAGAGGTGATTAAACGCCACGATGCTGACATATTTCGGTCATGCCCATTTCACTATTATGACACACTGCCGACATGCTAGCATCATGTTGACATATCACGCGGACGCTATGCCGGCATATGCCGCATGTCTTTGCAGTCCCCTCCCCTCCAGCCCACTGTTGCATGACACGTAGCCTGGCTATTTCGTAAACAACTCCTACTATTTTCTCTCACAATCTCCTTTGTAAGAATAATGACTCGTTGATGAACATATTCCCATACCGATGATTTATTCTGGGATACGGCCAGCTTTTCCACTTTGAAGGCCGTCCACACTGCCTTAACGTACTGTGATGTCTTCCAACGTTCCACATGTATTCAGCTGTAGCAGATCATGTCATTCATGAGACGGCTTAACCGACAAGCCTGCCGCCAATTTAGTATATTTAGTGAACTTGAGGGAATTTGTCCGCAGAAAGGACGCTCGGTCACCGTTTGGTAGATCTTTGCTTCTTGAGGAAGTGCATTGAACCTACTACAATCCGTCATAGGCTTGAGGGGATAGGAAAGGGGTTTGCTGGCCTAGAGGTCCTTACCGTCGGCAGGTGCATTTACTGTCCTCCTTAGGATTTCACTGAAATTTTTTTAACGGCGCTCAGCTCGCCGGTCGTGCCTTCCAAAATATCTGTTAAAGCTAGGTGTAATCTGTGAAGCCACCAAACAATTCTGGAAACTTGCGGCACCCGCAAGTAGTCGATGTCGGTGGTGTTGCCGCACCTCAACGGTCGTGACAGTGCGATCATTACGACACGGTAAGACATCGGGACTGGCGGTGGTTGCGCTTGCTGAGCTTTCTGACCAGGATCAAGTTAAACTTGCTTTCACTGCATTAACAGCGCTCGCCGAGAGGACAACCGTAAGACCGTATTCCACACACTAATATTCCAGTTTTCGTGAAAGCCGACGTATCAAGTGACCATTTCATTTTTTGTGCCATGGGTAAACTCCTATCAGACAGGATTCGGGGTAACGGGTTTTCCAAGTTTAACTACTAATGCATTCATGGAAAGTCAAACGCTAACCTAAAACGCAAACTTCTTGCCTTAGAACTATCTGATTGTGACGTCTGCGAGCGAGATCCACTAGGATGCCCAGCACAGAGTGCGTATCCGCAACAGTTAGGGGATAGCATCAGGTTGGGGGATTGCATGAGCAAAGTACCCTATCTGTCAAATTTATTAATTTGCTACCACAAACCTTCCTGTGTATGCGGAAGAGTACGTTTTGAGTATTGGCACGCTGCATTTGCTTTGGACAGATACGCTGTCGTTTAACCTAGCTGGTCAACTGGAATGTAATTCCCGCTTTGCATAAACCCGATAAACGTCTCCACGTCTATGAGTGTTCTAAAAAGCAGCGGCACCTATAGTGTTAAGGCTACCGGTTCCACAGTTTCCGAGCAATTTTCTTACGGTTTTCAAGCAGACGATCAAACACAGTAGCCGCTTTCGTTCGCAGGGCAGTTTTCCGGATAGGAACACGGTAACTGAGTTATTAGAATTCAAGATGGATAAACTGTTTTTAGGAACAAATGAGGTCTCAGTCTCCGGTTCCTTTGCACTCAGCCTCCTTGGAACTCCATGTCCTAGTTTTAGCTGCAACCTTACCCTCTGCAGTTTGTTAAACACCAGGCTTATAACGGCTATCACTCCACATGATAGTAGGCAAACCGCAGTTGTCCCATTACCCCAAACACGGTCTTGGTGGCCTGTTCTAAACAACCAGTGTAGTGTGAAATATCACGGAGGTCGTTTGTGACTGTCTGTACTACCTGGTTTGACACAGTTATAGGCTCGGCTGGTATGACTTCCGTAAAGGCTGATCATTCCCCACGAACCTCTTCACAACAGAGATCCTTTTAGAGGAATTAGATAATAACCAAGATGTTAAGGCCTCATTGTGATAGTCAGCTCGGACCACCACCAAATACTTGTTGAGGTCCATTTGTGTAGTCTAGTTAAAGATGCGATCCTTCCGCACGCGCATTCGAAAGTCCTGTTGCCGGTGCGAAGCGAAGTTTCCCAAACGTCCGTCTGCTTTTCTTTGTTTTTTCTACTCTGCCCCCATATGCTTTCCAACACCAACCTTATTGCATGTCGGACATGATATGCTGTTTCTATCGAGAAAAACCTTGTTCGAGTTTTTAAGTAGACTAGCCAATATAATCCCTCAGGAGGTGCGCAGAAATTCCAATTCTTCGTAAGCAGCCAAATGCAAGCTTTAGGAATGCGTCTGCGCCCATCATCAGATGATACCGTCCATCGTCAAGCCAATACTAATAAAAAATGCCCTTAAGCTGTTGCTAGATCTCAAAAATATCTTTTCTTTATTTGCAAACTTTTTCACTAACTTGCTGAGCATGAACGTCTTCTATCTGCCAAGTTTATTAGTTCACACCTGCAGTACTGTTTGCAGGCGTGGTTCCACTACCCCATGAGTGTGATGTGGTTATTGGGTAGCTCCATTCGTAATCAAAGCACTGTAATGAATGGGCTTAATTTTCCTATACTACAAAAGAAACGGCAATAGGCACAGTTTGCAAAAGCAAATGCAGACAGGGGAATAGGCGCCACGAAAAGTGGCTTGATTTTACGGCGAAATCGGGCGCTCACATTTAAAGACATTCTGGGAATTTGTCTAAGCTTAAAGTTCGATATATGCATTTTCTACAACTTTATATCAACGGACCGGAACGAGTTACCTGAACAAGGAATCCTGACTCATAGGCAGACTTTTTTCTAAGCGTCGTAATTCCAAATGAGAGTCGCCACAACCTACTGTTGTGTGGGTTATCACAACTTTAGGCAAAAACTCATTCTATTAGTCTGTAGTCTAAGCGTACCCGCTAGGAAAAAAAGCTGCCGCGGGTGACCTTTCCTCGCTGCGTGCTCGTCTTAGTTTTTCAATATTTTATTTTGTTTCGTTCTATCCTGTTTTCATATTCCTCCTGACTTTGAAGTGCTAGTTTCCCCGTCTCGGTGTTTTTGGCTGCTGCAGTATGACTGTCTATTAGCTGACCTGCCCCTGTCCGCCATTACAGCTTTTTAATGAGCAATATGATGCTTAATTTGTGTTTAAAGCCAAGTGGATGTCCTGGTAAATTGGCTCCTATACGGTAAAAAATGAAACTTTGGCCAATTATTAATTCATACCGGCCTAGCGTTTCTTTGATCGTTAGCTTTGGTGGGTTTAAACTTCGAATATGCATAGAAACATTCCTGTCATTATTTGATAGTGAATTTCTTCCGCCGTCCATGCTGCGGGGTAAAGTTTTGTCCCGAGGTTCGCGATTACAAGTATTCGTTACCTTTTAGATAGGTCTTTCTCTTTTATTTAATTTCATCTCGTTAATCAGAGCGTTGCTTTCGAAAACCTGTTTTTCTAGTTCATTGACCCAGATTTTTTCGATTTTTCAAATGTTTTGTAGACACCGGCGCACCGTGCTTATTATTTTCAACTGCGGTATTTACGTATGCTCGTTGTCGATACTCGGATAGTTGGATATTGCAAGAGGTTACGTAAACAACTAGTGTTCTAGATCTCTTCTCTTTTTATATTACTCCTGTATAAACGGTTACTACAGCAAATCTGGCAGGTTTCATTTTACGTGACGAAGCAAGCACTTAATGGCTGGGAACCTGTTTCATTCTGCATCATCTGTACCAGACGAAAAGACGCAATCATCTTCGTGCTTAAGCTGGATGACAAACAGCAGGAGTCATTCAACGATCTCCCGTGATTAAAACTATAGCAAATCGTTTGAGTGCGTGTAACCAAGGGATCCGATACGTACCCGCTGACCTGCCCTTTGGTTTGCTTTGGCAGACGTCAGTTTTTGACGCCGAGAAAGACATTGACAGTCGTAGGACCACTACACCCGTTGAGTACATTCTCTTAGCTAATTCGGAACTAATGCGGCTTTTGACGGTTGTTTAGCTGATATCACCATGCGACTTGAATGCACTTTATCACCTCTGGAGACACCTGCTGCGGAGAGCAGGTCTTGTTTCTGATTAACGGTCGTCAGCTTGGACAAATAGAAACCTGAACGTCACGGGGCCACGATGTTGCTAATTTGATAGGGTAGGGATGGACTTGCGCGCCAACCGATGCTACTCCTGGGGTTTTTGCCGGCCGTCGAAGTTGTCTGTTGTGCTGTCGCAATTCCGCGATTATCACAAAAATCCACATACACGAGGGACACATCCCACCAATCTCCCACGATTGCGGATGCTGGGCTATGCCTCTATAGATAAAAGAAAATTCAGAATTTTTAACCATCATTATTTCAGAATAATCGTTCGAGGGAAACATGCTGACTTTGACTGCAGTGTGACCATCCCATTCTAATCGATAACATTGCAAGGACACCTAGGTACATCCATTTCCTCTTAAATGGAGGCAAGTAGAAGGTGGTGAGCCCAAAGCCTGAGTCGGCAGTACCGTCTAAGTAGTGGGGTAAATCTTGGGCTCTTGATATCCACTCTCCTCCGCAGGAGAGGGTGGTCCGGACTCAGTAGATGCGCTGCCATACATACCATTTCTTGACCGGCCTTAAACGGAACATGATTGAGGCTGACTTGGGTACACATGATTAAAATTGTTTCAAGTACATACAAATTGTCAGACGTCCATCGTTATCATCTCGCCATCTGTGACTGCTCCGGTAAGACTGATGTTATTATGCTCTTATGAGGACTCATACCCTTTACTTCATCTATTCGGGTAATAATTTGGTGTCACCATGCTAATGCCGATCGGAACGTCTACTGGGGTTGTTGTGGCCTGCCAATATTTCAATTAGCTTTTCGGTCTGCCTTATCGGTGCGTGCGTGACTGTGTCCCTGCCTCTAGGTTGACCAATCTAACAAGATGATGGAGTTGTTCAAGTTAAATCTGCAGATGATACCAAGGCGGGCAGTTATCGACGTTCTCGAACAGAGTTCCAAAGGTGTATTAACCTACCACTCGGCGTGAGCTACATTGGTTCGCAATGCTGTGAATACTGAAGGCAGCTAAAATAATTCGACTTCTAAATGAATTAAATAAAATTACACGGATAGATCAAAGGGCTTTCTACAGTCTACCAAAATCAAAGCAAAACGTCAAAAATGTAGAGCAAGTTTTGCACTATGCGCTTGCCGTCGCAAATATTTTCATCACTATATTCGTGGACCCTCTTTGCTTCTTCAGCAATACCTGGGTAAAGGTCTTCTTGGCTTTTAGGGAATTTATGCTACTACCGCTCTTTCCCAGACCACTACTAATATTTTTTAATGTAGGCATCAGAACTGCTAGTCCACGGCTTCAATTCATCACTCGGTGTATTTGGAGTAATTGATAGAATACCTTGAAATTGCCCATTTAGTCGATAAAAGTCTGCATGAAAAGCGGTTAAGTTGCAAATATTTTACAGGCACTTTTAGTATACGAAGTGAGTAGGAAAGATAGATAGGAGCGTTAAAAGGATGGAGAATTTGTGAAATAACAGGGAAACAACACATTCACAGCATTTGCACGCAGTATGGCCGGAAGTGTCAGTTTGTGTGAACAAAATTAATTATGTAAATCAGGTAAGCAGCATGTCAACAGCCATATCAGTGTCTAATTCGATGGGCTGTTGGTAGTTCTGGCCGACCTTTGATATGTGAATATCTAAACTCCCCGTAAACAAGCTCGTGGTGGTGGAATGCACGACATATGTCGTTAAAGAATTTAACCTTGGAATGGCTGTTCACGAGAAAAGGGATGAGCGTTGATTGGTGTGGCGCCGTTCCATTTTATCTGACAATCGCGTCGTCCGGTTTCCTTGGTGCCATTTCAGAGATTTTCTCAGTCCACACCAAGAAACTGAAGCATTACCACAAGATCGCCTCCGTCTTTTCTGTAGTGGAGGGGGTAGGGGTTTAAGGCGGTCAGGCGCTGCCAGTACGTTAATTTATTCAATTCCAGAACAACTTTTGAGGTAAGTCGTACACCTTCAGGCATTCGCATGTCTTTCCGAAGCCGTGGCCCCCAGGTCTTTACCACATTCTAGGTGCTGACGCACATTTGCCCCACATATATATTCCCCAATGTATCAGCATTCAGGTTTACAAACGTTCTGCGCATCGCATTTATGGTTGGCATCGCCCGCGTTGCCACTCTGGAACACTGTGTTGTTCCCCTTAAGTCACAAACGAATGTTCCAGGGTCTTTTTCACATTTATGGTTTTGAGTAGTTGGTTTTTAAAGAGATGCTGTCCTGAGGGTGCATTTCTTCGTCGTCTTGCTGACATTGTTTGCATTACCACGCATTTGTCGACAATGAATTTCATGCACCAGATCTCGCTTCATGCATACAACCTTTTTATATCCTTCTGCAATGTCTGGGGTCTAGTTCATCTTTTACCAACCGCAACAGCATAATTTCATTTACAAAGATTTCACACCATGTACTAGGTCATTTACATAGTGAATAAAAGCGGCCCAAGAACCTCACTTTTGACCGAAGCACATTCTAAACAGCAACTTTTTGTCTGCGGTCGTTTTGCGAAGTCTTAAATCCAATTCGGGTGTTCTCTAATCCCTAAGTCTGACATCTTTTCGATAAGGCGCTTGCATGGACCGCAATCAAAGGCCCTACCAAAGTCATAGTAGATGACATCAACTGGATGTCCTCATCACTGTCTTTGACCAACGTTTCAGGGATATAGGGAGGTTTATAAGACCAGATCTCTACGTGGCCTCAGTTTATAAGATACAACTGCTTCACAGATAAGTCTTGCATACATTGCGTCGTCGCCCAAAATCTAGGTTTTTCTAGGTCCTCTGTTTGTATAGAGATATTTCACAACTTGCGCGTTTCCCCAATCTCTTTCTGTACTGTCTTCATCAACAACTCCGTTCTGCTTCTGGTGGAATGTCTCTTGAGGGGACTGCATCATTCAATCAAGTTTTCCACGGTTAGTTGCAAGGTTCCCCAATGTTCGTTGACATATCATAACACTCCCGTCAACAGTGTGCATCTAATCGCCGATTTAATTGCCTCAAACTTACCCCGTCAGACATTTCTCGACTTTGAGCTTCGTTCGGGGATAACTGCGAGTGTCGATGGTGGGGCTCGGAGACGCCGTCCTGCTTGGTCAGCGGGCATAGTACTACTTGCGGATGCTTTCGGTTTGAGGCGCTTCGCGGACTTCTGCGATTATAATTTACAATCAGGTTAGGGTTCGGGTTTTGCGGTTAGGATTTAAGGTTTAGGTCGAGGATTGTGGTTTAGGATGTAGTTTTAGTGCCTTGGGTTAGGAAGCCATCCGACGCCCGCTTCCCATAACTTCCATCTGCGGCTTGCGTCTGATTGGTCACATCCTTCGGTGGTTAGGTTCCAGTGACCTTGACGGGCTAATCGCTCTTATTTTTTATGGAATTGGTTTTACCGGTTACCTGCGGTGAATTTGCGTATTGTACGGCGCTCGCAGTACCCACTAAAACAAACTAGCATATTTACCCATAGTGCCTGCGTCTTTCTCCTAGTCTTCGCAAATCATTCACTGTTTTCCCGCAGCCCCACTCGTAAAGCCCCATTTACCAGGGGTCCCGTATTGGGAGCGCCTGGGCCTCTCCATTTTCCAACAAGACTGCCTTGTCGTGTTCATTCCCGTATTAATGTCATGGAATCACAACTATTTCAACAATTCTCATTCTGGGTTATCTGCTAGATCAAGGCAACTAGATCTCTCACTTCCGCTCATTCGAAAGAGGAAACCATCGAGTGCCATTTCCAATAACCTTTGGTCGAATTTTTATTTATGGCCCTTAACTATTTTAAGGTCCTAGTTAATCAGCAGAGCATCGAGATCTCGTACACTGTGTTTATCCTCTGTCCTCGCTGAGTTGACTGACCAACGTTTGATCTTCGTGTGCAGGTTGGTTTAGAGGCCTACACACAACATTGACAGTAACAGTTAGACTTAGGAACCAAAAAAGACATAACATCACCTCGAGGTCATTATTTTTTGTGCATTTGCCAACGTGGTTACATTTAAATGCGCCACTTCCATACAGAGCTACTCCACCGCCTCATTTTGGTTCGATTTCGTCTTAGCACTTGATAGCCGTCTATTTTTATTTTGGGGTCTTGGACATGTTGACCGAGCCGTGCTCCAGTTGATGTAATAACATCAGTGTACAACTCGGTCAGTCGAGTTTGTTCCGTCATAAAACTTAATTTTATGTAGATTTTTTTTCGTTTACATAATTGCCTGACGGTGCGACTTTCGTCAATATGACGAGCGTCCGCCGCAGAACTGGTAGTCGAATACAGTATTGCCAACATCATTACAGAATAGTTTCGCTATGTTTCGGGAGCCCATTTGTGCCAAATGGATTCTTGTTTAAAAACCCGACTTTCGTCATGCCGTTCTAATAATTCCACCGTTAGAAGATTTCCTCAGCCGAATACACCCTTTCGGCTGCTAAAGGCACTGCCTAGATTACGCTAGCGGACGGGAGGTCTAGCTCACTCTTGTGGCTCAAACTATGTGCTTATTTTTTACTTCAGAAAAGGCTATCGCACCAAGTTTTCTCTAGTACGCTTTTCCCATCTAGGGGGCCGCAAAAAAGAACGCTCCCAAACAGTCTCGGCCAACAGACGGCGCGGGGGCGCAGCTGTACGTCGACAGCTGACTACAACCCAGGTCGCACCCAGCTCTCGAGCAGAAGTCAACGAGTCTGCTGGACGGTCTTCAGATGATCCACCCGGCCTCTCGGACGACGACGACGCTAAGGAAGAGTCGGAGTTGCCCAACAGGAAGAAGAAAGTGGGAACGAAAAAGGCACTGAAGTTAGCTGAGAAGGAAAGGAGGAAGGAGGAGCGGGAGGCCGAAGAGAGGTACCGGGAACGACTGCGCCAGGCGGAAGACGAGGAAATTCGGAAACGGAAGAAAGAAGAGGCTGAGAAAGCAGCTGCCGAAGCGGCTGCGGTAAGTTTATCTTATCTTAAACTTAGTAATGCATCTTCACCGGTTACTCACAGACCGGCACCACCTTAGAAGGGCAAGAACCCTATCGCTTTTGATCAATTATCGTTGTAGGAAGCTGAAGCTGAACGACTTCGTCAAGAAGAAGAAGCACGACAGCAAGCCGAGTACGAACTCCTGAAGGCATCTTTTCAAGTTTTGGACGAAGGAACTTCCGTCAAATCGGTAGATGCTGCAGCAGAAGCGGAATTCGAGCGCGCGTTTGTGGATGCTATCAAACAGGCAAAAGTCATTACGCTCGAGCGTCTATGTGTCGAGTTCGACCTGAAAACGGAGGTAATCTTTCCCTCCCGAATTTTTTAAAATAACCTTTTTTCTTGTGCGTCTAAGTTGGATCCAAAGGATATTAGGCGTAGGAAAGACTACCGAAAAAGCAAGATAGATTGGGGTTATTAGCTGTCAGCCAGCCACATTGAACCCCAGGTTTGGATACCCGAGAAGGAGCAAGAGCATGTCCTGTAATCTTGTCGCCGAACTCACTCCCGCCACGTGTTCTAGATGTACAATGTTCGAAAGTTGAACATTTTCAAGGTGCAACTCCGGTCGGTCGTAGATACTACGGAAATCGCAGCGTAGTTATTCACGGACAGAAACTTAATTCAATCGGGACATGTGCTCCTGCGGGAGGGAAATACAGTGTGCGGAGCCGGAGACTACTGTGTAGCAAAATGGTAGCCATTAGACGATCAGTTTTCCACTGTTGCTGACCAATTTCATATTAACATTTGCAGGCTTGTGTCGAAAAGATCAAGAGCTTGTTGGCCCGGAAGCAACTCAGCGGCGTCCTGGATGACCGAGGGAAGTTCATTTACATCGAGGATTCGGAATACGAGGCCATCGCCAAGTTCATTGAATTTCGTGGCCGTGTCACAATGAGCGAACTAGTGGAGCATGGGAACAACGTGATCAAATCACGGAGCTCTGGAAATTGATAACTAACTGTTAAATCTACAATGTGCTTTCTTTCCTTTTTGGCCCTGATCCCCTCGCTTTTAACGATCGTGGAGTATTATCTTGACGGAAATACTATTTTGTCCCCAGTGCACAAATATCCAGAGGCTACAGGACATAGCCGTCAAATCCGCAGTCGAACGTAACTAAAATGAATACGGAAAATTTGCGTGTATTTGACACTCGGGTAGAAAACCACAAGATAAAAGGCATAAACAAGTGCAAAGTCAGGCAATGAAAAGAAGTACAGATATCATGCACGGAGAGGAGATAAACAGCCGGTGCTCCTCGCAATCCCGCCTAGCTGCCACAGAGAGCGTACAAATGTTGTAACACTGCATTGTAGGCGTTACCGGGGCTACCAGTGGTTGCGGAGGGCGGTGGTGGGGGCGTTCTGCCCGCCTTGGCGCTGTTCCCAAGAAATCGTCGCAACAAGGTTTGTGGATGTACGAGCTGGTAGATATGATTGCGCTGGTTTGTCAGGCGTTGGACGACTTTGTCGACAAAAAATTCCTGAAATGACCCGTGGGGCGAGGTCACTAATGACAGTGCATATATGAATACCACACTTATAACTTATTATGAGTCTGGTGCCAAGCAAGGAGGGGATTTATTAGCAAGGCATTAAAAGCCTTCAAATATCACTAAATCTCTGAGAAGTCTGAGATTCCTTTTTGAGAATACCAGCTTGGATGCGCTGCGACAGGGCTTCATAGGGTGAACAGCCAAGTAAGTGGAATGACAGGTTGAATGATGCCGAACTATAAACTAGTGATAGCAGCCCATATAGGGTCGGAGACAAAGGGACGATGAGTTCCTAAATTTGTCGCACGGGGCAGTTTGAGAGGCTAGCCTGTTATAGGTTGTGGTTTTGCGTTTCGTGTCCCGTTAGCCGTGAAGGCGATGTAGACCTCAATGTAACTTGGCAATAAGAATTCCCCCTCTAGCGACTCACCTCTTTTAATTGTTTGTCGTTATCAAGTATGTTTCGAAGGGCAGCTAACGCGGCTTCCTGTACTTCGGGCGAAGGATCAGAGCACCCAGACTCTAGCAGGCTGGTATAAAACGAGAACAAAATTCAGAAATAACAAGCTGGCGCATTAGGAGGGGAAGAAACGCGGTCGACTGTCCTATATCAGTCACAATAAGTTAACAAAACTACAAAAACGATCGGATTTGCATCCCCAGGAGCGCAATATATTAAATCAAGATTACACAAGTGCTAAAAACTCTACACTACGATGACATACAGCCGTTCGTCAAGATAGCGCTCACTGCGTATCTAATGCTTAGGGATTGGTCTCCAACAGAAGCAGACAATATAATTTCCGAAGAATGTGCTGTCCTATTCTCTTTAAACTTAGGCGGTTTATGGAGTACGTGCTTTCCCCTGCACCTTGAGTTGGCGGGTAGTTTTTGGCAGTAGTCCTTCTTAAGAAAAATGGCACTTCGATAGTCTGAGAAATTGTTTGGAGAAGTCGGGGGCTGTAAAAAAGCATACTCCAGTGCTTTGGTCAGCAGACGTTCAACCAGGGGGGTTATTTAATAGTCTGGAGTAATTCCTGTAGTATTTTCTGTTTTAGGAACTATTCTCAGCTGGCGTGAGTAATGCACTTTAGATTCGGTTTAAATGACGACCCCCTCTCAACGGGATTTACAGTATCTCAAGTCGGTAGAAAAGACGGAAGAGTAGAATGAGTAAACTTACTTGCTTAATACGTTCTGAGAGTTAAGTTCGTAACGACTCTCTCTGGCTCGGAGGACAGCGCTTTGCAAGAAACCTTGAGAATAATGCAACGTTAAACCTTAAACAAGTTGGTGCGCCCAAATTATCAAATATTACGAACAAGAATCGTGATTAAAACGGGTAGAAATAGCGGGATCCGCTAAGACCAGAAATCCTGCGTCAGCTGCTATCTAATTGCATGAAATGGACAACGAATAAGGTGTATACAACAAGCCTAATTTGCTCAGGAAGTCAATGTGAAACCACCGAGGTCATAATTCGGTACACAGACTAATGAGAAGGGGGGGGGGACTGACGTCGGAAACCAATAATACGCATGAAAACGGGAAAAATATAGCAACAAGGGAGTACCGGTCAACTATGCAATAAGACATTTAATAGATGCGATGCTCACCTATGGCGGCACGCCTAACGTAGGCGGCAGAGTCATTGCTAAGGATGCTCATTAAAACAGGCGTGGCGCAAAATAAACTGGTATTGATTGGAGTTGAAAGACAGATCAGACCGGTGAGCGTGCCGATAGCGTAGTACCGGATGATAGGGTTGGAATGAGGTATCAAGGCCTGCATCATATGGTCCTGATTTTTGGAGAGAAAAGTCGTCAGGGAGTGGACGGCAAATAATTCCGCATCAGGCTGTTTTGCCTTGCTGCTTTTCGGGCTCCCTGCAGCGGGCGAACCGGCCTGTGGGTTCAGGTGGACCAGGATGTCCAGACAAGCAAGCAGCAGGAAGAGGAAAGCTGAGCTGAAAATGCTAACCGCAGTGTCAGTGGCTTCCAGTAAGAGAGACAGGAAAGCCAACTTGTCTTTGTCTATAAGTGAGATTATATATAAACGATGAATGAGACATTCAGATAGTATTTTAGATTATATGGACGAATAAGTACAGATCTGAGATTTGTAAATGAAAATCGTGAGACGTGTGAGCCACAATGAAGAATGAGGTAACGGAATTTAAAAAAATGTTTGAGGTGTAGACTCCTGGGGACCTTATACTTTACGGCGAAATATTAACATGCGAAGGATATCATGTGGAACACATATGTCCAGAGAGAATACTTAGAGTAGATGGGCTAACTCATGAAATGCCAACCAAAATTCCGAAATTTGTTTTCGTTTCGAAAAGATTGATTAAATAGGGTCGGAAAAACAACTATCGTGCAGCATAATTCTATAATACATTGAGTGACCGATCTCATGAAATGTTGGCTGAAATTCTGAAATGCGTCTTCGGTTAGGA